AGCAACACAATTCCAAACCACCTCACAGAACGCACATACATCACAAAAACAACCAAGACAATTCAAGTTCACATCACAAAAACATCAAACCAAAATACATAACGCAAAATACCAGAGCAGTCCAAGTTCATAATTAGCCCATACATAAACACCATATACCAATATCTTCAAAATTAACTTACTGCAGATCATGCGTTCTTTCCTCCTGAAATATGATATATCTCCCCCTTTGGGAGACATCAATCAAAAGAGCTGTCGGACGCTCCATCGTCCAAGTCCTCACCATCATCCTCCATAGCTTGACTCCCAACACCTGGAATCGATTGCTGAATTCTCCCAAGAACTTACCTTAATTCCTGGCGAAGGTGAGCAGCGAAAGCATCTCCCGACAAAGTCGGACCATCCTTAAAGTCGTTGTGTGCGAAAGACAGACTGGAGGGTGGCCCATAGGATTTCACCTCATGTATGGCCTCCCCATTTCGAGGCTTTATACCTAATGATCCTAACAAGCCTGTGATTAAGGTAGGGTATGGAAGATGTCCCGACTCGGAAATCTTGTCTCCAGTGAATTTTAGTATCCTCTCCAGAACCACCCGACCAAAATCCACAAGCGAAGCATAATTATCAATACAGTAAATTAACGTACCCTTTAAGGAACTCACCGCAGAAGCATTCTTTGTTGGAAATATATTAAAGGCACAAAGAAGGTAAAGATAATGAAACTTTACCATAGAAAGAGTAGGGCTAAATCCGGGACGTCCAAACTTCGACCATTTTTCCCCAGATATGAAGCGAACAACAATAGACTGAGGGACTTGAAGATAATGACCAGGACTATAAGCATGAGAATTAACACACACACGAAGGTACTTCAAGATTATATCTGGTGATAAATCAAGCAGTTTTCCCCGAATGAATATTTTATGAAACTAAGGAGAAGAGGGATCATCAATCTTGGAAGATAGGTTGGAGTAGAACTCATGAACCAAAGAGGGACAAAATTCCCTAAGAGATCTCGCCTAAATTTTAGCTTCTTATCCTTTGAATAGATCTCAAATCTAAGTTCCTTATATTCAGAATCATCAAATCGTACCTCAGGAATGAAATCACGGTAAACATATATATCATTCATATACTACATGGCCTCAATAGTAAAGAAATTCTCATCCAAGGCATCAACTACATCCAGAGATGGGACAGATGACTCACTGGCCGATAAATCAGACGTTTGTAGCCCCTAGAGCGAGTTCGAATGTTTCTTAAAACAGTAGAAAGAAGAGTATCATCCCTTTCGTCATCCTGCTCTGTTTGTTCAGTGCTCGGACCACCATCAGATCCTCTAATATCAGGGTTCACAATAGGAAGTTTTTCGATAGATTCCCCAAATACTATATTTTCCAACTCTTCACCTGAAAATGACTACATTAATGTCTGGAATATCAATGTGAAAAACCGAGGCATTTGAATCACCAGTGTTGATTTCCATGTGTTCCTCATCAATAGTGACAAATTGGGGCGCGGATACACGATTCATTCGAAGATGTGATACACCAGTAGTGCGCCTTGAAGACAGGCCACCCCGACCACTTCGTGTACGCACCATTTGTAGTAGAGTTTAAGAGGATTGCTTGACTTGATAAATAAAATGGGGAATGTGTCTATTCGACTCTCAGGAGTGATCACAGTATGTGATTGCGGAGAATACTGTAGCACGTTTTGGCTTCACGAAGCGTCTGATGAAGCCTGTGCACTGGGCAGACTAATTACTGACATATCACACCATAAACTAGCTTTAGCATGAAGCCAACTATTATGGGCCTACAAATTAGGATATATAGCATGCTGAATACATGGGCCTGATACAAACTTAATCCAAATAGGCTTGCCAGAGTAGATATTAGGAAGCACAAAAACCCATCAAGCATCCACTTCCAGAGATCATTCAAAAAGCGTGATACTATAAACCCAAACAACTACTTTTGTGTAATCACGCACATCCATTACTGCAGTAAACATAAACCAAGGCTCCGACGAAGAGTTTCATACTGAGCCCAATCCAACGGTTTTGTCAAGATATCTGCGAGTTCGTGAGCTGTCTGAATGTATTGAAGACTGCATATCTCATTTTCAATAAGATTACGAATGAAGTCATACCGGATATCAATATGTTTAGTCCGGCTATGCTGCACCGGATTCTTCGAAATGTTTCACGCTTGAATTATCCCATCTGAGAGTGAACTCCTTACACTGAATCCTATAATCGTTTAACATTTGTTGCATCCATAACAATTGTGAACATCTTGCTTCAGCGGCAACATGTTCGGCCTCAGCGGTAGAAAGCGCAATGAAATTTTGCTTCTTTAAAAACCAACTCACCAAGTTATCACCAAGATAGAAACACCCACTCGACGTGCTTTTTCAATCATCACAACACCCGGCCCAATCCGCATATGTATATCCTCCTAACTCTAGTGACGATTTTCTTGAATACCAAAGACAAGTTTCAGAGGTTCTCTTTACATACCTCAAAATTCTTTTCACGGCTTTGAAATGTGATTCTTTGGGGTTTGCTTGGTAATGAGCACACACTCCGACACTAAAGCTAATGTCATCATGCTACGATATTTCCGTTGGTCCACAGATGCTCCCAGCTCATCTTTTGACGACTTATCTTGCACTCCCATCGGTGTTCGAATACTCTTTGAATTTTTCATATCAAATTTCTTCATCATGCTTTGAACATACTTACCTTGATTGAGGAAAATCCCATCACCATACTGTCGAACTTGCAGTCCAAAGAAATATTTTAACTCTCCCATCATAGACATCTCAAACTTATCGGCCATGATTTTCACGAACCCATCCTTAAGACAACCTGCAATAAAACCAAACACAATGTCATCAACATATACTTGCGCAATTATTACCTCATTATTCTCCCATTTGATGAAGAGTGTTTTGTCAACCGATCCTGAATGTAGTTCCTTGACTGTAAGTAAGTTGATAGTCGTTCGTACCAGGCCCGTGGAGCCTGTTTCAGTCCATATAATGTCTTTCTTAGTTTGAATTAATTAGGGAGTTTTGGATCTTCAAATCCCTTGGGTTGAGCAACATAGACATCTTCTTTTAGCCGCCCATTTAAAAATGTTGTCTTAATGTCCATCTGAATAGTTTGAACCTCATGGAGCAGGCTATTGAGAGCATCATTTTGAACCGCCTCCAATCTTGCAACTGGTGCGAAAGTTTCATCACAATCAAATCCTTCAACTTGTGAGTATCTTTGAGCAACCAGTCTGGCTTTCTTTTGAACAATGTTTCTCTCTTCATCAGTTTTATTTTTGAATATTCATTTCGTTCCTACGATGTTAGCCCATTTCTGGTGGTTTGACGAGTTCTCACACTTCATTCCTTTCGAACGGTAACAATTCATCTTGTATGTAATAGTTTTAAAAAATAAAATTTTTACCCTATTTACGAGTATTACAAAATAAATACTTCCTTCATCATTTTTTTTTAATTATTTTTATTTTCGTCAATTCTATTTTATTTGTCATTTTTTTTAAAAAAAAAAAATAATTAGAAACTTTAATCATATTTTAGATTTTATAATTTATAATATTTTAATTATAGTACTTAATTATTTTAATTTTAATTTATAATTAATTTTATTATACAATATTTATACTATAAGGAATTAGGTGGATACTATTTGATTATACAATAATGATAAGAAATTCGGTTTTGAAACACATAAGAGATATTTAATTTATGATATAATTTATTATTATTAGTTTATTAGTTTATTGTGTGGTGTTATTCATAATTTTGAAATAAATTTTAATATATGTGATTAAAAAACAAGTAGTATTTTTTTTTTATAAAAAAATCAATAAAAATTTTCAAAGAAAGTTAATCCAAATACAATATATTTTTGATAATTTTATTTATGTATACATTTAATTTTTATTAACTCAGTGATTTTTAGCCTTTTTTTTACATTTATTTTTTATTAACTCACTGATTTAATATAAAATAAAGGGAAAAAATCAATTTTGGTACCGATATAATTAAAATTAATCAATTTTGGTCCAAATATAAAAAATTCATCAATTTTGATCTTAATATAACTAAAATTTATCAATTTTGGTCCAAATATAAAAAACTCATCAATTTTGGTCCCAATATAAACAATTTCAATCAATTTTGGTCCCATTATAAATAATTTTTATTAATTTTGGTCTCACCGTTAAAAAACTAACGGAAGTTGCTGACGTGGACATGACGGAGGTGACGTGGCAGTTGACCTGGAAAGTACACGGCCACGTACAATTATACACGGTCATGTTGTTACATGGCCATGTATATTTCAGTGTATAATTATACATAGTCATGTTGTTACACGACCATGTACAATTATACACAGCCATGTTGTTACAGGGTCATGTATATTTCAGTGTATAATTATACATGGCCATGTTGTTACACGGCTATGTACAATTATACACGGCCATGTTGTTACATGACCATGTATATTTCAGTGTATAATTATACACGACCATGTTGTTACAAGACCATGTATAATTCTACAATAATGAGTCCATTTCAAGTCGAACAATTTAATCCATATAAAAAAACTCAATCCGACAATAAATATTAATATAATCATAAAAAAATACTCTCTCAGTCTAATTTCTACCGTCCTAAAGTATATTTGAACAATTTTTTTTAAGGTAATTATCTTTTTGTTATGATATAATAAATTCATCCTTAATGGCACAATAAATATTAAAAGGTAATAAATAAGTGAAAAGTAAAAAAATAAAATTTATATTTAAAAAAAAAATAAGACAATAATTGCTGCATCGTATTAGTTTGTGGCAGGAGGAAGTAAATTCTAAACCCAATCTCAGCTCCAATATAAATATATTCTAACTATACATACATTAAACAGTAAAAAACCCATTGAAAAGATAAAAAGGTAAATAAAAAACTACCAAAAGTGAGAGTAGCAACAAAGATTTATTACAAGAAGAGAGTAGCAACAACAGATAATTATTCAAGGCCTTGAAGAAGGCAGGCAGGCAAGCAGAAATGCAGAATTTTAATCTATTACAATTAACGAGCGGGCAGTTCATAGTAAGTAATTCTGACCTCATCCTCAGGCCTCTCAGGTGGATTTGTCTTGTTCTTCATCCTCATCGCCTGATATTCCTTGTACTGAAATCTCTTGTACTTCGCGGCTTCTCCTACATCCTCTGTGAACTTCGCCAACGGCTCGATCCACTTTTCGCCCTCGATGTTATAAAAGAACGCAAACGAGTGCCGGTCTCTCCCTTTCGGACGAGCAACTCTGTGAGTCGCGCTCTTGAACTTCTTGTTGCTCAACACCTACGAATCATATTATAAATACCATCAAAATAATTCACACAACAATCTTGAACGAACCAATTTTATGTCGAGCAAATTTTTTGTCGCCAAATTCGGCTCATAGTGTAAACATTGATATAATTTGCTAAGTTAAAAAAAAAAAAAAATTCATAAGTAAATTATGTTATTCGCTCTGGGTTACTAGCAAATTATCATTTTTTATTTTTTTTTCGTGATTTAAAAATTTCATAAGTTGAATCAATTTTTTTTATTGAAATTCTTACGTATAATTCTCCATTAGTTAAAAATTTTAACGAAAAATAACTCTTCAAATAATAAACTACTATTCCCTCGATTATGTAAAATTATACCCAATTTGATCGGCTATGAGTTTTAAAAAAATAGATAAAAATAATTTTTTTTTTCGTTTTTATGATTAAAAAAATAATAATAAATTTAAATTAAAATTTAACCAGTGAATAATCATGTAAGAAATAAATGGTAAGCTACTCAAAATTTGAATTATTTCATAATAAAGAAATGGTATATAACAAACATATAACATTCAAACTATCGATAAAATCAAATCATAAATATTTAACCTTATGTAAAAAATAAAGTCGAAAACAACTAAATCTAATTTATAAAACTAAATAACTAAAATATCTAGAATTGCTTAGAATTTTCAATTCATGTAATGAAGTTTAACCTTTTGAAATCAAAAACGATCGATAAAATCGAATTTTTCGTAGAAAACACAATAAATCATTCGAGTATATACCTGAAGAACATCGCCGATGTTGACAACAATGGTGTCCGGATTCGGAACCACCGGAATCCATTCCCCAGCCTTTTTAACCTCAAGCCCTCCGACATCATCCTGGATTACAAATGTAAAAATGTTGCTGTCTTCGTGCTCCAACAGCCCATTCTTACCGTCGGATTCCGAGGAGATCGGAAAGTAGCGCAGAGCTACCATGAAATCCCAGCTCCTGTCGCCATTGAAGGTCTTCAAGAAATCTGGAGGAAGCTCAAAGCAGTCGTTAAGAATCTGCTCCATCAACTCTCCAGTCTTCCTGAAATGTCCGAACATCTCCTCAAGCACTTCTCTGGCCGTACAACAAATAAATCATTACCTCAATTTTTAAATATTAAAAAAATAAAATTGTACATAATTCTTATAGTTTCTAAATCATAAAATTTCGTAATTTAAATTTGTACTCTTTATATTTTAAAAGGCACGAAATCCCACCAGCCACGACATAAAATTTTACTTGTGTAGTAAAAAATAATTTTCTATCGATATGTTTTACGTGACAGCATATTTTATGCAATATTTTTCAAAGAATGCGTCGTATAATTTTTTTAAATAAAATTAGATTTACACTAAGTTTCGAAGAATTCTGAAGAGTTTTGAAATTATAAAAGCATTCTATACTATGATTTTTAAAATATAAGGACGGTCATGTAATTTTACTTTACTACAAAAGAATGTCATACAATTTTTATATAAATTTTAAAATAAAATAAAAATTTAAGCTGAATTTAAAAAAATTTTGAAATCATAAAAGAATTTCGTAGAATAAATTTTTAATGTTGGGGAGTAGGAGGAAGGATTTACTATGACTTTCGAAATCAATTAGGCAATTTTGCCTATTAAAAATTATTTTCAATAAAATTAATTTTTTAATAATACCTAAAATCGGGAGGGTTTGGGGGCATGACGTTGAATCCAGATTTGGGGTCGAACATGAGGAAATACTCGAGCTTGTCGGCGGACTCCGGCGGGTGCTGCCGGTAGCCGGCGGGGAGGGGGGCCTCCGACGGGGCGGCGTATTGGAGCTTCTGGTCGTCGGGGAAGGCGAGGAATTCGCCGGAGAGTTGCAGAGCGCGGGAGATGAGGTGGAGGGGGACGCCGTGGTTCGCGATTTGGAAGAATCCGTACTCTTCGCAGGCCTGCCTTATGGTGGTGATGGCGTTGTTCTTCGCGGCGGCGCCGTCGCCGGAGGATTTCAGGAACGGGGAGAGATCGACGGTGGGGATTTCCATTGTTGAGACTGAAGGTTCTGTTGGTGTTTTCGGTGGAGAGTGATGAAGGTAAAGTCGCTTATTTAAAGGGACTTTTGGTTGAATGGAAACGGTGTCGTTTTGTGGTGGTTAATTTGTTGTTATTATTATTAAATTTTTCAGAGTTTTTAGAAAATGTGGGGTGGGGTGGGGTGGGGTGGGTAATTTGTTGGGTTCCCCCATAATGAATTTTTTAAAATCGAGGTTTGTTTGGTCGTCCTGTTGGAAATGTGGGTCGAGTTTTTAATTTTATTGTTTTTTATAATTATTTCAGGACAATTTTCACTGGACTTCCTATATTTATTTTTAAATTTTTATTTACTCTTTATGCATTACTTTGTCTATTTTTTTATTTTTTATTTTTATAAATTTATTTTTTTTTATTCCCTATTTATTTAAAAGCTCTAAATATCCTTATTTAATTTATCATATATATTGTATTTTTCATTTTGTCTTTTGTGTATAAATCTTTAATTTTTGCCTTATAATTTTACTTTCTTATTATACATATAATAAATAAATAACCGTATGAAATAAATATTGATAGAAAAAAACATTAATGATATAAATTTGTAACAATTTAAAAAAGAGAATTTGTTAATAATACATAAAGTAAAACTTAATTGTACAATAATTTATTTGAAAAAGTATATATATATAAATATTCTCGTGTAGATACACAAAAAAGATAATGGAGTATAAAAAATTAATGTTGTAAAGACTAATATATTTAAAAAATAATTATATACATGTATGATATACTATTGATAATATTAATAAGTCAATTGATTTAATATACAAATATTCATACCATGACAAATAGTTAAAAATATTTATTCGTAATCCTTAAACAACAATGCAATATATTTATAATGATATAGTGTCTCAAATGAATAAAATGTCAGTAAAGTAATACTTCATTCGTCCCAAAACTATAGTCTGAGTTGTGTTCGGCACGAGATTTAAGAAATATTGATATTATATTGGTAATGAGTAAAAAAGTACATGTAAAAAACTTTTTTGCCATTGTAGGTGTATTAGTGTAAAAAGTAGTGGCAATTGTGTAATAATAATGAAAAAGTAAGTGTAGTTTTACAGTGATATGGTTATTTATGAAAATGAAACTATTGTTTTGGGACGGACAAAAATGGTAAGCAAAACTATTGTATTGGGACGGAGGGAGTAAAAAATATTTCAAATATCATTTAAAGTATTGATTACAGTATAGAAAAGTATTGAAAATAAATTTTAAAAATATAAATCTTCATTTTACAAATTTTTTATTTTTTAACTAAAATAATCGGCATGTGAAAATAGATGAATCGATTTTTTTTAGATTATATGAGAGTGGGGACAAAAAAATAAAAAAAATATTACTTAAAGGATAAAATATGATATTTATATAATAAATTTATAAATAGAATATGGAGTTTAAAGGAAAGAATTTGCAAGTATGTAGGGATGACAAAGAAAAGTAATTAAGAGTTAGAAATTTTAGGAAAATTAACTCTTATTTCAACCGTAAACCAATAAAATAAATACTTAGGTAAAAATATTTATAATTTATCAATAGTTTGAAAAATATACACTAATTTTTTATGATTTTAAAAAGTGTAAAAGATTCTTTTATGCTTTCAAAATATTGTGCAAAATTTTTGTTTTAGGAGATGATGTACTACTTTGTTCCGGAAGAAGCGTAACGTTTACTTTTTGTACGTAGATGAATATTAGTATTATATTGATTTATAGTGAAAAAGATAAAAATATCCCTATTAGATTGTGTGATGTAAAAGTAATGACATTTGTGTAATATATTGAAAATTGTAAGGATATTAATTATGTTAGATAGGTGCTACAATTACTAAATAAGTAAATGATATCCTTATTTTGGGACGGACAAAAATAAAAAAATAATATATTTCTTATGGGATGGAGGGAGTACAATATTTTTGAAAATAAGAGAGATTTTTATACAATTTTTAGGAGATTTTATGCAATATATTTTTAAAATACTTATTATATTATCACATTATTTTGTCAAATAAATATTTAAATAATATGTTTGTTTCAATAGACATGCATAATCTAACTAAAAAAATCATAATATTTAAACATAATAAATCATTTCCCAAAAACAATAACTAGGTTAAGGCAAAACTAGGGTTTCAAACCTATTCCACAAATTTTACGATTTTCAACTTAAAATACTATAATAATCTCCGCATAAGCCCTAAGGGACATTATAATCAACTTTTTAGAAGAAATAAGTAAACCTTAACACTTTTAGGGCAAACCCATTTAAAAATAATTTTAAAAAATATCAACAAAAGGGTCTAGAGATTAGAACATATCATTTACCTAAGATTAATATCACTTATCTTACGAAAAAAGACCAAAACAAAGAGTTTTGAAGAAGAAAACTTCCAAAGAAGAAAAGGAAGATGACTACCGGCGGCTGGCAGGAGAGAACGCTAGATGCTCCATCTCTCTTCTGTAATCTTTATTTTCTATTCTTAAAATAAATAGACTTGGGCCTAAACCTATTTTTTTAATTCCCTTGGGCCCAAAATGGTCCAAACACTCTAACCACTTTTAATTTAATATAATTACATCATTTCTTACACCAAAAGTTCAAAATAAAATTGTCCAACTCCGGCATCGGATTCCGAAAAGTTTCGGTGAACTTCCGGAGATTATTTTTACGAGGTATTAGATCCTCCCCGCTTAGGATATTTCATCCTCGAAATCGATCTATACGCCCGGAGCTACCTCAGATAACTCCGCCAATTTAAGCTTCAAAAGGTTAGCAGGAAATTCTATGTCTCCGATCATATGACAGACACTCCTACGAGAAGACAATTACAAGGCACTAGCTCTCCTGAAGGTAGCCTAATCCCTATCAAACCCTCTGTTCGAGAATTTAATTATAGGCTCTTAGCACATCTACTCGATATGAAAGAAAGGGATGCACCGGAATCAAAGAGAATAACTACAACCAAAGAATTCACCAAGAACGTACCGGTCAGGACGTCTCCCTGGTTCTCCACAGCTTGCCCTCTCGTCATGACATTGATGTGACATCTCTGGCTACTCCTTCCTCCTCTTATCGCACGTTGAGGTGCCGCTGGTGGCATACGACCTTGCTGCTGCGGAACCGGAACCCTCTCAATCGCATTCGGAGCTCCAAGTAACTTGGGACAAAACCTCTTGACATATCCCAGCTCATGGCAGTAATAGCAAGTGACGGACTAGCCATCGCAACGCACTCCCGGATGAGACTTTCCACATTGGCTACAAACAGTCGGACCGCCATGACTGTCACTTGAATTCCCATGGGTGAATTTAGGGCGAGATGCATAAAGCGTAACCAGGAACCTTCTCCGATTGATCCTCTCGCTGATGGTTCTTCAACCTCTCATTCACCTTCTCTTTTCCTCTATCTGCCCTGCGGATTCCATCCCTCCGCTCATCATACGATATTCGATTTGATGTTAGCCATCTTTTCGTATGTCTCCTGAAGGGTCATCACACTGAAGCCAGCTAAGAACCGTTGAAAGTCTCGGTTTAACCCACCAACAAACCTCGTCAACTTACATCGATAATTCACCGCCAAATACGGAGCATAAGTAGTCAACTCATTAAAACGCGTGAAATATTCTTTCACCGTCATATCACCCTACACCACCAAAGCGCTAAACTTATCCTCCTTTGCTCTCTGAAGGTGTGGGGGATAAAATCGCGACAATATCATCCCCTTAAAGGCCTCCCACGGTAATTCAACCAAGTTGCTCCCGGAAGCCTTCTCATTATTCCACCATTTCTTGGCCAATCCTTTCAAGTTATACGCGGCTATCATAATCTTCTCTAATTCTAGGCATCTCACCACCTCAAGTATCATCTCCAAATGATTCAAATATTCTCCCAAAATAGTTGGGTTCGATTGACCAGTGAAAGTCGGAGGACTATAACGTAACACTGCATTCATAGCACTCAAGGGCTACTGACCGAATTGTCCCATAAATTGACGAAAGATCTCCATTATCGGATCTGAAGGTCGAACGGGATTCTGAACTAGAGACTCAGGGTTTTGGGAGTGTCTACTCTTAACCTCTTCATCGGACTCAGGTGCCATAGGAGGCTGATGAGCACGCCTATGGGGCATCTGCTAATCGAGACTAGACCTTATAAGTTGTAGCTAATCAAGACTAGACCTAATAAGCTCTAGCTAATCAAATAGCATAACCAATGCACATAAACATAAAGAATAAACATAAAATGCAATGCATGCCATGAATGCACCCAAACCTGACTAAACCTATGATCTAATTGATTTTAGAAATTTCAAAATCCTAAAGTTTTATTAATCAAGAAGCATGAGTCTTTAACATAAGCTCTGATACCAACTGTAACACCCCAGCCGGCTCAAATTGGAGTGTCACCGCCACGCCACACCAAAAGCCTCATTCATCAACCAACGAGCTCTATCTTGTGGCGCTAAGGCTAAAATAACCATTACAAACAACTAAGTAGAGATTTAAAATTAAAGCGCACCGGCTAATCATTTAAATAAATAAGGTTCGAGTCAAAAGTATAAGTCGGAAATTAGTTCAAAAGACATTAGTTCTTAAACATTAATAATAGATTTAAAAAATATTCTAGAAGATAAAGTAGTTCTAATACCCCCCGATGGATCATATGACGTGAATGCATCATTTAGATATAATAGAAGCACCATCACCTACAAAAGTTTATAGAAAGAGGGTCAACACGATGGTTGAGTAGTGTATTCTCTTTTCTTTTTTTTTTTTCAATCCGGGTATGCTCCTGAATTGAGTATTCAGGAGCATCCTGAAAAAATTACAACCATTTGATGAAAATTTTAATCAACGGATGAGATTGCAAGTAGAGGTAGATATATAATTTGATTCATATAATTAATAAGTCAATACTTTATTTCAGCATAAATCAAAGGAATATAAATATGGATAGATGTTGGTCATGTTCATAATTTGTATAAGTTTACATTAAAAAAAGAA